ACAGAAGCAATAAAGAGCGTGATTTGGGAAAAAGAGGACAGAGACCCTTGTCTCCTGGCTCAAAACATGCAGGTAAGATGAACTTGGAATTTTTCTGCTGTGACGGTCTCTCCTGTGTGTGACGGTACAGGATTTTGAGTGTCTTTTTAAAACAAGAAAGATCCTACAAAAAAATACATCTTACTTGAATCAAACCTAAGTGCTGGCTAGAAGCTTTCACGGAAAGATAATAGAAAAATGGGTATCTTTTGGGTCAAGAAACAGCGTAATAATGCCTTATGTGATTCACAATACTTTCTAGCATGTATTTTTCCTACCATTTCTTAATGCAACAAATTTAGATAAATGCCAAATCCCCTGATGTTATCAGTCCAATCTGACTTACTTAAGTTCCACTCCTCAAAGCTGCCTCAGTAAAGGAGATGGAGTAACAGCCTATATGGTACTGTATTCTCTATACATAAGCATGCAGTAACTTACTGTATAAGCTTTATTTTCCAAGCTGCAATAAGAAGGCCTTTGCCTGATGGTTAGAGCAAATGCAGATGTTTTAAACAGCTGTGTCTGCCTGAAAAGACTGCAGCTGCCCTCCATTAGCTTTTAATTTACTATGGTAGGCTTGCCAACCCAAAAATTTATAAAATGCCTCAACATATGGAGCTAGTATTTACCTGCGAGGCAAGAACATTCATTCCCAAACTCCCCAAGATCACCCGTGCCTGATTTAAAAGCTGAACACTAGATGGAGCTCTGTCCTTGTAGCACCAACAGGTAAATTTAGATACTTGCAGCTGTCTCAGGTAAAATTCTAATTAGTTACATGCAGGCGGCCAGATCAGTGGCTTGTTTAGAGGTCTTTTAAAATGCCGAATAGAAGTAACAGTACGATCCTGAAAGCCTTTTTTAAGAACTGCATGTGTCCATGAAAGCTTCTGGAATATGAACAGAGGACTGGGGGGGGGGAACAGATCAACAAGTATGGTATTCTCTGACAAAACTATCTCTATATTAAGGATTTTTTTTTAAGTATTTAATCTGCCCTAGTATGAGATGTCTGAAAAGAAGACTTTATATCATGTGTACAGCCACAGAACAGTTGATGCTTTAAACTATGAGAGAAAAAATAGTAAGCTCTGGTTTAGTATCAAGTAGCTGTAGCTATCCTGCAAGATCACAAGAAAATTTCAAGTGTAATTTTATGTAGAGACAAAATATCTTTATTTAAACTCTCTCTCTTGAATATTTCACATTAACTCCATCAAATAATGACAGGGAAAAACCCACAATCGTATTTACCCATAAAAAAAAAAAAAAAAAAAAAAAAAAAAAAAAAAGAGTATACCACATATGCTAAAGAAAAGCTTTCAAAGAGTAGGAACTGGAAACATGACTGGCCCCAAATCTCTGTTAAAGATAAGGCAAGCTACACTTTCTAATGAGATGTAATGAATTAGCTATATGGAGTCAATGGGGAAGGATTCTCGAATACATTTTTTCCAGTCTACAGCTGATTTAACCAAATTTACATGAAAGGAAATCTCTGAGCATTTAAATGGATCATTTTTCTTTCACAAACAAGAGATTATACAGTTCTTGCAGGACTGTGAAAGTTGCATCACAATGTTTATTCATTGTCTTAATGCTGGTGTTTCACAGCCTGTAGAGTTTCTGAATAAAGTACTGTGATTTGGGGAAAACAATGAAATCACACTGTGACTAACCTTTGCTGGGGTCCTCTCGGAGTAAAGCTTGAGATAGAGAAGGACATGAGGTCTCGGGTATCTGTTGTGAGAATTCTTGAGTAAATGGGTAATGAAAAATCAGAATGCTTGGGACTGAGTTTAGACCACGTTACTTGCAGCTAGTTTACTCCCCTTTACAAACAGTAACCTTAAAGCTTTATGAAAGCTTTTCAGCAAATAAAACAGCAATTTGGAACATGCTGCAAATTGATGTACCAAAACATGAATGTTTGTTCCTGCCTTATAGCCATGAGCTTCTATCTAGGGAGCGTAGCTGTTTAGAGCCTTCATCCAAGTGTCTCTTTTGGTCCCTACCCTTCGGTGACTATGAACCATTTTGCCACTTTTCTGTACAATCCAGTAACAGGCCAGGCACTGCACTACGAAAGAACAAGCATAAGCCTAAGCACCATGCAGGCGTGCTTGCAGAACATGACCTGCACTCAAACACAGGGCCTCTAAGCATTGTCAGCGTGACCCATAATGTGACTGTGACACTGAGGAAGAGAAACTTGGACAGTTCTGCTCAATAATTTTTAATAATGTAAAAATACACCCTGGTCGAGACAGAGAGCAACACATGGGATCTCACAGTTAACCTTCTACTGATTTTTCAAGAAGGAAGAAATGAAGATGGTCCGTAAAGCAGTGTCCAGCAGTGTTCTCTTTTGGGGTTCCTAACTTGTTTTTTTCATAGGTCCTTTCTGAGAGGGATGGTTATGCTCTCCCTGAATAAGCTTCATTGTTATATAAGAGGCAAAGACTTAACACAATGCCAGCTTTGTGACAGTAATGTGTCTGCACTACTGCAGAAAAGAAACAAACCTCTCTTATTGAGGGGGGACTTCTGGAATGGTAATTAGCTGGGAGGCCAGGACAGCTGAGGGAGTGCTGCTGAAACCCACTACACTGAGAGAGAGAGATGTAGAATTGATTTACTTCAGTTAAAATTATATTAAACAGGACAGATAGGATCAACAAGCTGAAGGTAGCCCAAAATTAGGATCCTCTCTGCTTTCCAGTGGTACAGCAATATTGTAGTAGTATCGGTGCTCCACGTATCAAATACAGAAACAGAGCAGTAAAATGCTTACACGTGAATGCTGTGGCAGTAGTGGGACAGTGGTTCATATTCTATGCTTAGCCTGTGCTGCTCAACCTCTCTGCTTCTGCCTGTGCTTAGTGGCAGCAGCTGCACAGCCTCTCTGCTCCCATCCTTCCTCTTCAGAGCACGAGGGCAAGGCACTGCTCGCCTTCCTGGGTGCTGGCTGACGCTGCTTTTGTCAACTGCACGCTGGAGTACAGCATGTATCGACAGGGTCTTGACTACTCCAGGTGAGGAATAAATAAGAAAGGAGGTAATAACCCTACGTGGCCATAAAGGAGTAAATGAGGTCCCAGATGCTGCTTCCATCACGTGGCAAGTGACCCGGGTGCGCATCCTCCAGCGAGGCTAGTTGGGGAAAGGGAGAGGAAACCAGCCTCGTGTTAAAAAAGACTCCCAGCTTTGCTGCCCAGACTGTTCTAAATTCCACTGACTTCTTCCCAAATGGTTTAACGATACTAAAACAAGCAGCGCTATAGGAATCCTTCTTGGTATCAGGATTACGAAAGATGCTTAAAATGTTATCTACCATTAGAATTTTGGCCACTCCTATACGTGACCTATTTAAGATGATTACCTCAAAGCTGAGAGGAAAGACAAGAAAAGTTCAAAAGCAAGCTAAATTAACACACAGCGTGTGGATTCCTGACAGTTTTAATTATTCTTTAGCATGTTCAGAGACGTTTCAAAGGCGTTCTACTTCACTTCCCGTTTTCTCCCTCTCACACCTTGGGCATGTTTGCTCTGTAAGTGAGGTCCAATTCTTTTTCTGGAATATCTGGTGTGTGATTCATAGTCTCGGTCTCACGCATAAGTTTAAAAGAAAACTGCAATCATACATAACTCTTCACAAAGTGAGATAGTGCATCAGTTGGTAACAGGGAGAAAAATGTTTCAACATTCCAAATATGGTACAAGCTTACACTAGGCAAAAGGAAATTCTAAAATTGAGGACTATTATTACAAGTAGTAGAATTACATTAAAACATCACGCATATTAAAGATGCTTAGACTATTTAGCTGTAAATCAACATGATCACAGAAGGAAGACAGCAAACTCTGGTGGTTGAAATATAACCACTCCACTAGCAGTGAAAAATGTGTTTTAGCTATATTGTTGATGTTACAAGTACTCAAAACTCTTTAGCTTACCTGCTGCTAAACGCTTGCTGTCGTTTAGCCAACTCCTAGAAGACTGATGTAATCAGAAGTACTCAGCTGACCTGTGTCGGTATCACACGTGGGATGACCTGTTTGGGTAAAAAAAAAAAAACAGAAACCCTTAACAGGTTTTGGATCAGCAAGGCACTCGAAGAGAATGGTGAACTCCCAGCGACCAAAACTTGCAGCACTTTCTAGAAGTAATCTTGGGATCTACTTCTAGAAGTAATCTTGGGATCTCTACGGAGAGAAGGAAAGCCTACACTTTTTGAGTGCGAGTCTTTGTTTTGCTTCTTTGGAGACTTCCTGTACTAGAGATTTTTGTCATCATAAACATCGCATTAGAGAATGTTCTTGAAACAGGAGCCAACAGAAATAGGGCATAAAACACTTAAAGCAACTGAAGTGGCCTATGCTATTATTTTACTAACGGAAATAAATAGATAAGAAGTGCTTTAAGTCTAAAAACACCTGATTTTTAAATTTTTGGAGAAAGACTATTGCTTCCCTCAGTAACAATGTTTTACGTTAACCTAGAAAATTCCTGGTGTATATATAACTGAAAATATCCGGGTATCTATAACCTAGAATATTCCCAGTGTGTAGGAATATGCACAAAAAGACGCCTTGTACCATATTTAAACCACCATGAAAACAACCAATTGTTCGACTGCCCGTAAGGATGATACAAAGACTAAAGCTCATGAATTGGGGGTGCAGGGAGCGGGGCGACTCGTCCAAACCTTCCCCTATGAACTTCAGCGGGGAATTCACCGCCGGGGCCCCGTTTCCCTCTCCGCAGTGCGGGCCTGCGTGGAGCCAAGGCCCGGGAGGCCTGGCAGGAGGGGGCAATAG